ACCAAATCTCTTGCCCACCAGATTTTGAGCAGAGTTGGAAACAGCGGTGCCCTGCTCAAAGAGGGCAGTCGAATGCGCCGCTATGAATGTCTGTTGCTCTCCACAGCCCTGCCAATAATCCAATCTCATGCATCAGCTCCTGAAAGAGCTCTCTATGCCTCTTCTGAGTCTCCCGTTCCAGGGCTTCGATCTGTAATTTTTCCTGCTCTGGTTATCGTTCCAGATCACCCAGATTGTAAAAATTCGGGTCTGTTCCAATTTCCCATCATCGGCCATGACTGAACTTGTTGAAAAGGGTCGAAGCCCTCCCTATTAGGCACTCAACAGTATCCACTAAAGGGTTGTATAACATTAGCAGTAACCATAAATATAAACAGAATGTATTTAGGAGACAAAGTTTTACATTGCTTAATCAATAAAAGGCAGATAAGGAAAAAAGACAAACTCTGTTTTCACTTGTGTAAAGATTTGTTTCAAGTTATAGTGGTTCATCCCTAAATAGTTTCCCAGCTTGCACAGGGTCAGCCTAGCATCTATTTGCAAAGGAGCAGTTTGCCACGTATAGGTCATATCAAAGATGTCAAATGCAACAAACTCCTTCTCATCTAAAATCCAAGCAACCAGAAAATAAGATTCTATACTCCATTTTTGGTAGAAAGACAAATGACAAGTAATAACCGTAACTTATTCATAAAGAACAAGTTTCATGTTATGTCACAAATGTATTATAGACAGTGCAATCACCATGTCCTCTTATCTATAGCAGTGCATGTGAGGACAACTAAAGCTCCTGAAGACAGGGACCTTGTCTTGTCTTGCTCATCAATGTGTCCCTAGGGCCTAGCACAGTGCCTGATACATAGCAGGTGCTCAGTAATCATTTGAAGGAATGAAATAATGGCCTGCAAGACCATAGAATACCTTCTAAATCATCTAAGAAATATTATCCTATGGTTGGTATAGCGTCGGCATTAACTGTACTTATTCTAATTCTTAAAACACTGATAGTATATGGTATATCCTGATGAACTAGCACTCTTCATTCTTTAATCATTCTGGGTAAAGAGGAGTTTACTATAAATATCACTGTTTATAAAGTTATTATTTGTGTGAAACAAATAAAAGCTAGTCATTCAACAAATATTTATCAAACAGCTACTATGCACCAGGCACTGTGCTAGGAACAAAGGACACACTGAACTGTCCCTGCCTCCAGCCACTTTCACAGTCTATGGCAGCTTTTCTCAACGGGGGGTTCCTCATCTCCACATGAGAAATTAATTCATTGCAAACAATGGATCCTTAGGGCATTAGGGCTTAATCTTCTCCCTGATGGGTTGAGAAAGACTGGTTTGGGGAGCCACACAAGTTAAAATGCAATTACAACACAAAAAAATGATTAAGAGGTTGCTTTTAGATATGGTCAAGTGCAACAGTTAAATCCAGACATGTGCAAGACACACACATCATTTCTAAGATTTTTGTAAATGCTAAAATATTACAATACATACATGTAGATATATTTCTAAACATAATAATAAAAAATCAACAATATTTTCCACACTCAGAAATGCCAGGCCAAGGTTATTAGTAAACTGAAACAGAAAAAAAAAAAAGTATTAATTACCCTGATAATTCAAGGAGGAAACCAAAACCCTTCTTGCTCCTGGAAATAAAAAAACAATTACCTAAATTATTTTGTTAATTGTCTCCATATTTTACTTCACTAGGCCAGCCTCACTGAGGCCTCAGAATAATAAATTAGCTGTCTAATTTCATTAACTCCGTAGGTGTTATTTTGAATTTTCATCCTACCTTATGCAGTCTAATTTCTTGCCAGTCCTAGGCATCTGTGACTGGTAAGAAATTTATGTTGTGTACTTTATGGAACCAAGCAGTTAGACAGCTTCTAGAATCAGAGATTTAAATTTACAGGTGGGTCTCCAGTATTTGACACTCACAAAAGCTTTCACATATCAATGGTCTAGAAATCCACAGCTGTTAAATGCCACTCTCTGTCAGGCTAAATTGACAACATCTACCTGACGAAGCCCCAAATATACTTTATCCAGAAATGTCTTACCTTGAATCTTTAGCATGAAATAATTTAGTACTCCAGAAAAAGAGGGAAATTCTTGTTCAGACTCTCAATAAATGTTTACATCCACGCGAAAAGCTACTATAATCACTAGGAATTTAACTGAGTGAAAGAAGACAAGATAACATAAAAATCCATGACCCTTACGTTGCAACTAGTCCAGACTTCCAATTAAACATGCCTTTGAAGGAAATAAATTATACAGACAAAGCCACTATTATTTACTTCTTGTATTTATGGAGAATGGAGATGTTGACTGGCAACAGACGATACTTTTAATACATTCAGCGACATCCAACTTTTAAACCTTTTAAGATGCTCCTAGATACCTAAATCCTAAAATCCTGCACCAAATCCACCAATTTCTTTGTACCTCAAAATTGTCAAAAGGGAAGTCATTAAAAAAAAAAGAAAAAAAGGAAAGTCATAATTCATCAGAGAGAAAGGAACACAATTATTCATGGCAAAGACATCAAGCCCATGTCTTTAAAAATATAACGAATCACTATTTCTTTTAGTTTGAAGTTGGGGAACCTATGAAAATAAATGGAATTTTTAAAACAATTCAGCAAACACTAGAAGATGATGCTACTCCTAAGAGATACTTACTTCCCACATCTGGTTTAAAACATAAATCTCTCTTCTAACATGTAGTCTCCAGCTTTCAATGACCAACAACTACCATCAAAACCACTGTAATTTATTTCAGACACCTATAGGTACAAAGAAAAACACATTGGATTTTGAAAGGAATTGACAGCCCCATCTATAAAATAGTAAAACAATCATAAGACAGCACACACCTTGGGCTACACTGATCTGAAAGTATCAAAGTCCAACCTAATCTTTAATTTTAGCCTTCTAGTGACTTAACTGGGAGTGGCCCTCAAAGAATCTCTGCCAGGCAAAAGATGAGGACAGCATGTAGCTTACTAACCTAAGGGAGATAAAATTTGGTCCCCAGAAATTTTAAAGCCATCATTTACCAACTGAGTATTTGACAGCATGTTTCACATTCAGTCCAACGGGTCCGCAGATTAGTTCCTTGCCCTTGGCCTAGGGCTCAGATACAACTCCCGAGACTTACCATAGTCATGATTGCGCAGGCAAATGTGAGCAGTCGGGTATTCCAGCAGAAACAATGAGGTCAAAGCTCATTTCAGCATAAGCATGATTCTCTGCAGAGATCTTGGTTGAGGATGCAAAGTACTGGTCTCAAACCTGCAGGCTGGCACCTCTACAACTGCTGCAAATTCTACTGCATGCCCTGGCTTCCTGGGCCAGCACTGCTTAATTACTAGACTCATACAATGCAGATCACTCTTAGCAAAGGGAGCTTTCAGACCAACACCTGGGTTGTTCAGTCTTTTTTTTTTTTTAAATGGAATATCAGCATTTATTTATTATAATCCAGAGGCCAGTCGGTTTCCACTGCAAGTGCCATGTGAAAAAATTATCCTTTTCCCAAACATTACAATTAGCTCTTCTTGTCGCCTCTCCCTTTTTGTCACCCCCAAACAACACTCCAAGATCACAAGTATGGATGTGAAATAGAACTATGAGGTACAATGCTCTTTTATATTATCAGGGATAAATGTGCGAAACCAATTTTAGTCACTTGTTTTAGCAAAGCATCCAGTGTAAGCTATTTCCTCTGGAATTCAAGATCCTTGAGATGTACCTCTATTGCCCTGTGCCACTGGTAATAATCTGCTCCATTTTCCTGTAACACGTTTCTGGGTGATGTAAAACGTTTACGAAAAGATTAACACCGCACTATTCTGATAATATTATAAAAACGGATGTGCACATATTTCTTTTAGCCAAGGTACATTTTTGAAAGTTTCAAATGTAGAAAAAATGACAGCAAATTCACCCGACATAGGAAAAACATGAGAGTGGTGCTTTAATTAGGAATAACTGCATGAAAAGAATCAAACCGACAAGTTTGCAAACAGGTAGCGCAAGGTGGGGGGAGCATATAGCACTCAACCATTTTTCTTACCTACATAAAAATCAAAATTTGCAGACGAACCCTTTCTTTCCCTTCACTGACAGAAATAAAACCCTATTCCCGCCACCGCATCTTGCAATTAAGGAAGTTGCTACAAATAGCAGCATAGAAGTGGCCCCTGTTTTTGCTCCATTCTTAACGTACACTCTCGGAGTAAACAGGTTACTCAAAAAAGTCAGTAGCAGAAATCGCTTTTTCCTATGCCAAACTCACACGGAAAGGAAATCCCCGTTTCTGGGGTCTGCAAGGGGTCAGCGTGGCCACAGGCCACAGGTTCCCTGTCTGGGGCATCCGGTCCCGCGAGGCTAAGCTGCCGCGGCGGTGCTGCCTCCTCCCGGCGTCTGCACGTCCACCGAGCCCACCCTGATCCTTGCCCTCGCATTTACTCCACCCTGATGGGGAGCCTCCTGGGCCGAGTCTGCAAAGTTTGTCCGGCCTCCGGTCAGCAGCCGCCCGCCGGGCCGAGCGAGCCCCGAGCCAGCCTGCGCCCTGCCCTGTCCTAGGCCCCCAGCACCCCGCTCTGATCTGGGCCCCAGTGACAGGTCGAGGTTTACCTCCATGTGCTCGTGGCACAGGAAACAAAAGAAAACAATCTCCTAGATAATACAACGCCATCTTCGGCTAATTGGCTAAACTGGGGGGCCCCTGGGCCGGTCCACCCACAAAGCAGCCTGAGCTGAGTTGGAAAGCCTGGGTTACGCTGTCCTAGGGGGGTGCCCCGGGCGCCCTACCTGCCTCTGCAGCCCGGCCGCCCCGGCAACGGGTGTCGGTAACACCAAACGGGGCGGTGGCGGGGATACTGTCCCCCTCAAGGGCCATGACCTCTCAGGAAACTGTCGTCAGGGCCCAGGCGAAGGGCACGCGGGGAGCCGCAGCGAGTGTACTTACAAAGCGGTTCCAGCTCCGGCGGAACATCGCGTCGAAGGCTGCCGGCCGCCGCCTGGGCTCCACGGGGCTGTCTGGAAGGCGCGGTCCACACAC